GCCAGACGTAATGTGGCCAGACGTACTGGGCCAGACGTACTGGGCCAGACATAACGGCGGGTGTGTCAATAACGGCGGGTGTGTCAATAACGGCGGGTGTGTCAATAACGGCGGGTGTGTCAATAACGGCGGGTGTCAATAACGGCGGGTGTGTCAATAACGGCGGGTGTGTCAATAACGGCGGGTGTGTCAATAACGGCGGGTGTCAATAACGGCGGGTGTGTCAATAACGGCGGGTGTCAATAACGGCGGGTGTGTCAATAACGGGGGATTCTGACGATGCGATTTATCTCCCCACAATACAATGACTGGCTTCAGTAGCATGGTCTGGAACGAGGACGGTGGGTATTGCAAGAAAGAGTGCTGCAATAACTATACAATCTGCATGAATTGAGAGCTGTTGCAATGGCGTGTGAATGCGGGGGAATATCCTCCCCAAAATCACTATTGCTACACTCTTTCTCGCCAGTCTAAGGTTTATTGATTCCAGGATTTGTATTCCTTCCAGAAAATGCAAGTATACCCTCTATTTTCTTGTTCCAGTGAGTTCAGACTTTCCAGGGGGGTGTAGACTTTCTAGGAGGTGGGGGGGTTCTAGACTTCCTAGGGGTGAAGAATTTCCTGGATGTTGTAGACTTTCATGAAAGTATAGACTTTCCAGTGAGTGTAGAAGTGCAGAACAACATTCTCTTGTGAATTATTTTTTTTTCCCCAAGAACAGTATAGTCATTCCAAGTCGGTTCATGATGATTCTCAGTACATGGAGAAGCTCCTAGTGTGTGACTGGAGAGCTTCACAACACCTATATGGGCGACAGGTGGTGACAGGCCTCAGGTGTTGAGAGGCCTCAGGTGTTGAGAGGCGTCAGGTGTTGACTCAGAGAGGGTGCAGAGGAGGCGAGGCACTCCATATACGACTTCACATGTAAATATGACAAACCCAATGGGGTTTAATATGACAAACCCCATGGGTTTAATGATGCTTCACTCCAAACGAGTCTTCAAATTCAAATTCCTATACCGCATAAAGTGAACTGAGGATTCGGACGTGATTGCATCAGTTCCGCATTTCAATATGTATGAGGGGCAATTTAATTTCAACAAGATGTCTGCTTGAAGGCCAATTACATTTTCCATAACCCACGTGATGGATAAGTTTTCCACACTCTAGCCTTCCCCCCCCCCCCCCCGCCATCTTCTCTGTTTCCCGCCATATTGTCAACGTTTCCCGCCATATTGTCTACGTTTCCCGCCAAATTGTCTACGTTTCCCGCCATATTCTCAACGTTTCCCGCCATATTCTCAACGTTTCCCGCCATATTGTCTACGTTTCCCGCCATATTCTCAACGTTTCCCGCCATATTCTCAACGTTTCCCGCCATATTGTCTACGTTTCCCGCCATATTCTCAACGTTTCCCGCCATATTGTCTACGTTTCCCACCATATTGTCTACGTTTCCCGCCATATTGTCTACGTTTCCCGCCATATTGTCTACGTTTCCCGCCATATTGTCTACGTTTCCCGCCATATTCTCAACGTTTCCCGCCATATTGTCTACGTTTCCCACCATATTGTCTACGTTTAACGCCATATTGTCTACGTTTCCCGCCATATTCTCAACGTTTCCCGCCATATTGTCTACGTTTCCCGCCATATTCTCAACGTTTCCCGCCATATTGTCTACGTTTCCCGCCATATTCTCAACGTTTCCCGCCATATTCTCAACGTTTCCCGCCATATTCTCAACGTTTCCCGCCATATTCTCAACGTTTCCCGCCATATTGTCTACGTTTCCCGCCATATTCTCAACGTTTCCCGCCATATTCTCAACGTTTCCCGCCATATTCTCAACGTTTCCCGCCATATTCTCAACGTTTCTCGCCATATTGTCTACGTTTCCCGCCATATTCTCAACGTTTCCCGCCATATTGTCTACGTTTCCCGCCATATTCTCAACGTTTCCTGCCATATTGTCTACGTTTCCCGCCATATTCTCAACGTTTCCGGCCATATTCTCAACGTTTCCCGCCATATTGTCTACGTTTCCCGCCATATTCTCAACGTTTCCCGCCATATTGTCTGTTTCCCGCCATATTCTCAACGTTTCCCGCCATATTCTCAACGTTTCCCGTCATATTGTCTACGTTTCCCGCCATATTCTCCTCCCCCGCTGTATTCTCGTTTCCTGCCATATTTTTGCTTCCTGCCATATTCGCATTTCCCGTCATATTCTCGTTTCTCGCCATATTCTGTACACTACATACGTGAGACCAGTACTGCTTTATGCAGCTCCTGCGTGGAGTACAAATGGAAGCTCTTGAAAATTCAGGTATGTACCATAAGATTGGTTCCAGAACTGAGGAAATTACAGGGAGGGAGCTGTACCGTACTAAATTATATAAGAGAATGAGGAGACATGATCGTAATATATATGATTCTAAGAGATATTGACAAAATAGATAAGAACGAAACGTTTAGCAGGTGCAGCAGGAGAGCAAAAGGTCATTGATGGAAGTTAGACGCCAGTGGTGGAGGAGGAAGTCTTGGCCAATTCCATACTCAGATTTAAATTTTGATAAAATACAAATCTAATTGTTACTAGAAGCCATTGCAGGACAGTGTTGCAAAAGATACTCGAAAATGATGTGGCGGGTCCAGGAGCTAATCCTCCCTACCCGCAAGCACAGATAGCTACGAACATACACGTATACAACACATTCACACACACATATACTACCAACTAAAAAAATCTCTCTCTCTCTCTCTCTCTCTCTCTCTCTCTCTCTCTCTCTCTCTCTCTCTCTCTCTCTCTCTCTCTCTCTCTCTCTCTCTCTCTCTCTCTCTCTCTCCCTCGCACCCCAATAACGTCGTCACCCGCTGCCTCTTCCCCCCTTTGTCTTGGGGCGCCCTATGTACGGCCGTGGAGAAAGCAACAATTATTCCAAGTCCAGCAGGGAAGTCCAATTTCCTAGAGACAAGGCAAATGGCCTGGTTAATGACCGGACCACCTTTCCTCCTCCTCCTCCTCCTCCTCCTCCTCTTCCTGCCAGCAACCCGGCGTAATGACCCAGCTCCTAGCATCTCTGATAATGACACAGGGCGCCTCAGGGAACACGTAACGATCCGGGTCCTAGGGACCAGGTGAATGAATCACTCTTGCGGCGGGGTTAGGTGAATGGAGGTTGTGAGGGGGAAGGTAGGGAGGGCAACGACCTGATATCGAGGTCATAGGATCAGGTCAACAACCCGACTATATTCATACCTGGTGATTGACACTGTTGGGGAAGAGTGGGAAACTAGCTTCAAGAGATAGCCTTGCGCCTATAGTAAGCTATACCAGGTGAGTCGAGTTATTTGATGAGTGAGTGGTGGTGCCTGTGAGTCAGCTAAGCGACATCTCCCTTTCCCAGACGGGCACCCAGCTGACTCCTAGGATGCAGCTCCTAGCTAGACAAACAGTTGGGAATGAGTACAATAATAGTAGACTCGTGTTCGGAGAAAATATATTAAAGAAGTTTGTGAAATGTTACTGATGTTGGCAGTTTTTTTTTTTTTGCCGCTCAACGAGGCCACATGTGACGTACACATGTGTTCTCTGATGTGCTTGCAGGGTCGACCTCCAGCTCCCCAGCCCCGCCTTCAAAACGTGTACTAACATATCGTTTACTCCAGCTCAGCAGCCAATTCTTGATCACAAAACTTGCTGTAAATCAGATTTTTGCTTTGTTTTGCCTAATTTTTCCTGATGACCACCCTCTTTAGTCCCTTGCATAAAAGGCATTTAGTGCCTTGAGTGAAAGGTAATTTACTTGTTCTTTGTTATCTTTAGTGGGGACAGGAACTCAGCTGCTTGTCAAAGGTCCCACCATTGTTCTGATGATTTTTTTCCAACTGGATTTTAAACTGAAGTCTTGGCATTTACAGCTTCGGCGGGTAGGTGGTTCCAAAGGTTTATTACCCTCCGGGTGAAAAACCCATCTCCTGTTTTTGTCCCTACATTGTGACTTAATGAGCAGGAAGCTGCTGCTCCTTGTATGCGTTAAATTGTACCTTTTAAAACAAATGGTCTGGATGAATCTTCCAATTTGTTCAGTATTTTAAAGGTTTCAATGAGATCAGCCCCGTCATGTCTGGTTTGTAGCGTTGTTACTCCTGTGGCCCTCGACTCTCCCGCGTATGAGAGGAGTTGATTTAATACTGGAATGATTTTTGTCCATATTCTGAACTTTCACCAATTCAGGCATGTCCTTTTGAAGGTGATGCCTCCATGTCTAGACACAGTAGTTGAGGTGTTGAGTGCGCCAGATACTTATACAATTGAATAACTACTTTTTCCTTGAAGTAAAAGGGACTTTGACCATTCCTAATGTATGTTTTTCCTTGGTCTATGTTTTTCTTTGTTATTCCTTCGTTCTTTGTATTACTTGTTCTTTGTTATCCTTGTTCTTTTTATTCCTTATTCTTGGTTATCCTTTGTTATCCTTGTTCTTTTTATTCCTTATTCTTGGTTATCCTTTGTTATCCTTGTTCTTTTTATTCCTTATTCTTGGTTATCCTTTGTTGTCCTTGTTCTTTGTTATCCTTATTCTTTCTCGTCGTTTTTCTTTGCTTTCCTTGTTGTTGTTTTTATCTTTGTTATCTATGTTCTTTGTTGTGCATGTTTTCGGTTTTCCTTGTTCTTTAATAATGATCTCCTTCTTAACTTTTTACTTGTTCTTTGTTCTCCTTGTTCGTTGTTTTATCTTGTTCTTATCCTTCTCTTTTATCCTTCACCTTTGCATCTTTGTTATCATTCTTCTTTGTATCCCTTGTCTTCGTTATCTGAAGTGCTATTTACCCCACATACACAGGATAAGCTGATTACTACACCTGCTCTTTACGTTATAATTACGTCTATAGGAACAAAAATAATTTCATTCGACAAACACACTGAGTTCTCAATGTTCTTCTCCACTCGTTAATTATCACTTCATCTACTACATTTCCCCAACGGTTGTCAGACCTCCCTACAACCTTCCCCCAACGGTTGTCAGACCTCCCTACAACCTTCCCCCAACGGCTGTCAGACCTCCCTACAACCTCCCCCAACGGTTGTCAGACCTCCCTACAACCTCCCCCAACGGCTGTCAGATCTCCCTACAACCTTCCCCCAACGGCTGTCAGACCTCCCTACAACCTTCCCCCAACGGTTGTCAGATCTCCCTACAACCTTCCCCCAACGGTTGTCAGACCTCCCTACAACCTTCCCCCAACGGCTGTCAGACCTCCCTACAACCTCCCCCAACGGTTGTCAGACCTCCCTACAACCTCCCCCAACGGCTGTCAGACCTCCCTACAACCTCCCCCCAACGGCTCTCAAACCTCCCTACAACCTTCCCCCAACGGCTGTCAGACCTCCCTACAACCTCCCCCAACGGCTCTCAAACCTCCCTACAACCTTCCCCCAACGGCTGTCAGACCTCCCTACAACCTCCCCCAACGGCTCTCAAACCTCCCTACAACCTTCCCCCAACGGCTGTCAGACCTCCCTACAACCTCCCCCCAACGGCTCTCAAACCTCCCTACAACCTTCCCCCAACGGCTGTCAGACCTCCCTACAACCTCCCCCAACGGCTCTCAAACCTCCCTACAACCTTCCCCCAACGGCTGTCAGACCTCCCTACAACCTCCCCCCAACGGCTCTCAAACCTCCCTACAACCTTCCCCCAACGGCTGTCAGACCTCCCTACAACCTCCCCCCAACGGCTCTCAAACCTCCCTACAACCTTCCCCAACGGCTGTCAGACCTCCCTACAACCTCCCCCAACGGCTGTCAGACCTCCCTACAACCTCCCCCAACGGCTGTCAGACCTCCCTACAACCTCCCCCCAACGGCTGTCAGACCTCCCTACAACCTTCCCCCAACGGCTGTCAGACCTCCCTACAACCTCCCCCCAACGGCTGTCAGACCTCCCTACAACCTTCCCCCAACGGCTGTCAGACCTCCCTACAACTTCCCCCAACGGCTGTCAGACCTCCCTACAACCTCCCCCCAACGGCTGTCAGACCTCCCTACAACCTCCCCCCAACGGCTGTCAGACCTCCCTACAACCTTCCCCAGACTTACTACACTTATTCACCATAAAATAAAACATGTTTGAATAAGAATAATTGCAGTTAAATACACCAGTTATGAGATTTATTCACGAGTGGGCAGTCCTCGGTCTGACATTGTTGCCGCTGTGCTGTTAGGGAGTCAGGAAACGGTATGGTGGACCTCGGAAGACAGATAGTATGTGTCCTCAGGTCTCCCGTGAACATTGTTGCCCATTAGGACCCCAGGCTGACTCTCCGCGCTGCTAACCGCGCTGACTCCAATTATACACACGGGGGTTTGTGGGGTCAGCTGCTGGCTATACTTGGGGGGCTGAATATGCTCCACCTCTCAGGTCGAGAGGGAGCTGGTCTCTAGACAGTCGGTAGAGTCTGTAGAGCATCAGAGGGGGAGAGGGAACGATCAGGGAGGAAAGCGCCAATAAGCCATTACAATTATATAGCACTTGGAAGGGGTCAGGATAAGGATTTGGGATGGGACGGGGGGAAGGAATGATGCCTAACCACTTGGACGGTTGGGGATTGAACGCCGACCTGCATTAAGCGAGACCGTCGCTTTACCGTCCAGCCCAAGTGGTTGGACTAGGAATGGTGCCCAGCCACTTGGACGGGGTAGACCATCAGGTCGATTATTTTTCCTCTTGTATTTCGTCATCGCTGTGTAGAGGGTGCGGGCAGATGGACGCCATGAGAAGTCTACGATGTGAATGTCAGACGCTCTATTCATCACGTGCCCCTGGTCAACCAGTTTGTTGCACGTAGGTATATTATGATTTTACATGCTGACACCTGCATACAAAGCTATACAACATTCATGCTGACAAGTATGTATGTATAAATATACATATGTTAAGGTGTGTATGTAATACACACGGTGATACACGACATAGCCAGGCCCTGTATACCCAGCACTGTCAATGTTGTGTGTGTGCACATGGAAGAGGCCTCACACACAGGCAGTGTATACACAGGCAGTGTACACACAGGCAGTGTACACACAGACAGTGTACACACAGACAGTGTACACACAGACAGTGTACACACAGACAGTGTACACACAGACAGTGTACACACAGTGTACACACAGGCAGTGTACACACAGGCAGTGTACACACAGACAGTGTACACACAGACAGTGTACACACAGACAGTGTACACACAGGCAATGTACACACAGTGTACACACAGGCAGTGTACACACACAGTGTACACACAGGCAGTGTACACACAGACAGTGTACACACAGACAGTGTACACACACACAGTGTACACACAGGCAGTGTACACACAGGCAGTGTACACACAGACAGTGTACACTCAGACAGTGTACACACAGACCCTTGATGTGATCCCGGGACATGTGAGGTGACGCCTCCTCAGAGAGAGCTACAAGTAGCGTCACCTGAGCCGTGAAGATGTTGGCCGCCGACGCCGGAGAAGAACCTTCTCAGCGTGGGGTGTTAACTCACCTCATGAACAGAGATAACCTACCTCATGGGCAGACAACACTAGCCAAATGGGACAAAATAAAATAGATTAAATGTGTATTGAATCATATATAATGGGAGGGAATATGACTTAATGGACAGGAATCAATGGATAAGGATCACTGACTCAGTGGATAAGGTTTACTAACTTAATGGGCCGTGTGAAGGGGTATAAAACACCAGCTAGCTCAAATGTGTGGTGGAGAGTGCACACCGCCATATGTAGCTCCTCACCGAGTGCACAGGTAGAGTGCACCAAGGCTAGCTTCCTTATTATGAAACGTAGATATGTCTAATGGGGGTATCTGGAGATAGGTATGTCATCAGCTGTCATTTAACACCACGATGCCCATCGTGGTGTTTACGGCAAGGAAGAGACAGCCATTGTAATGTATATTACAGTTGAAACTCTAAGGATGCAATAAGGATGCAAATATCCAGTTATAGAGTGAAGTAGTACTGGCAGAGCTTGTGGTCGAGAGTTCAAGACCTGTCAGGTCAGATCAGAGCATCACGCCATCCGAGGGTGGGCCCCCTATTGGGTTAGGCAAATATGTGCCTACCTCCTGATTACTTCGTTCAAGAGAACAGGAAAATCCCCCTGTGGAGGCCAGCGCCCCAGGCCGTACCCGTCATTCTGAACTCGTCGCTTCAACTTGTTAGACGTGGTCTCCTTAGTTGTCGGCTAACAACTAGGAAAACCGTCTAAACGCGACCTTAAGTTTATCCTGACATCCCAATTTCGTCCCCGCGCGTCCATCTACAGAATCCGGTCTCGTGTGGGATCGAAACTAACGATATACGAGTGATAACGAGAGAGATATAAAGTGTAACTTCACACGTGGTCCCAGCAGGGTGAAACAGACTCCACGGGATCATCTGCTGTTATCTCAACCATCCTCCAGCCTAACACTACGTGGGTGGAGAATAGTGACTAAGCATTTGGTTCCCAGTGTGCTGTAAATTTCCTAGTGTGAAATAACTTAATTACAGGCATTTAATTAGTGTACTTAATGTAACTAGTAAAGTGTTACAAAATTCTTGTTTGGCAAGCTGTTTGTGTGATACCGTCAGTACCGTAATTCATCTTGATTGATTAATTGTCTGGTTGACAGGAATTAATGTAATTACTCACTGATTGTTTAATTGTCTTTGTGACAGAGTAATTAATGTGAAGAATTACTGTTTTAATAGATTGACTGAGTGACAGATTGTAATTAACGTAAATTATCTTTGATTGATAACTGTTTTGGTGACAGTAATTAACGTAATTAAGTAATTGTTTATTTTGATTTGATTGATTGTAATCAATTGTTCTTGTCTGTGTGACAGAACTTTAACGTAATTGGTTAAGTGTCTTTAATTGATTGTCCTCCATAGGGGCGTTTGTAAATGTAATTAATTAGATTTACCGAAGATTCTTCTCAGTGACAAGTCTTGCTTTGCTTGGTTGTTTTGCTATTGTTTTGATTGTTCAAATTGTTTTACTGCATTACTTTGGATTGCATATTTGAGTCCTAGTGCACCGCCGATGTTCAGTTAGTTCACTGATCTTGTTTTGCCTATGCAAGAGAGCTGAGACGTGTTCTCATCTACCAGCCAAGAGCGGTGTGACAGTATTCCCACTATACTGGTTGGGAATACTGGTTGACTGGTTCTTCAGCCAGTTAGCTGCCATAGTATCACTTAGGGCATAAACGTAACGTTAAAATGTTGTGCCCTTGTATTAGTATTAAGTTTTTGTTATTAGACTGTTATTGTTGCCAAATAATTGACTTTATGTCAATACCTTTCAAGTATACTGCCTTTTATCTTTGTCAGCCACACGCTACGCCTGATACCTTGCACTTAATAAGTGTCGGCTCCTGGATTCGAACCTGATGATAGCCCAAACACTGAATACTGAATTTGGTGTGAGAACCCCGTGACTACCCCTCGAGATTGCTACAAGCAATTGAGGAGTCAACGACCTAGTGATTTAGAGTATCAGGTAATTGAACTCTGGCGTTTGATCTCGCTTATATTTCAGTTGGAAATTATAATCTCACATCTGACACTTAACGTATTGAATTTTGTGCAGTCCTTCTGGCTGAGACAGAATCTCACATCTGGCCCCCAAAGTGGGGGGCCCTGTAGGTATTTTTGCAGCTCCAGAGATATATCTTTCAGGGAAATATGAAACTTACAGGCCGAGATCACTGTTCAGTCCCTGAGCCCATTATGTACCTCTGTAACTCTTTCCACTACCGCCCACAAAATGGGTATGGGGTGCATAATAAATGAACTAAACTAAAAAACGAGATCACTCATCTAAGAGGAATGGGTCAACGGAATGGTTTTATTCTCAAGTAAGAAAAAGAAAAATATTCTAACTCTGCTTAGGTTGCCTGTGTCTTGAAGTCTGCATGTAAATTCCGCTCAACTGTATAGCATTCGCAATCAGTTGTAAGCATATAGAGTTAATTAGTAAATATAAGACAGGTAGCAAATATTATAAATTATGCATTTTCGCTATATCGTCAGCACATGATATTGCAGGTAAACGGATCGATATATGAGACGCTATAGAGAATTTCTGGCTTGTAAGTCAATTACTTTGTTTCCACATGCACTTGTTAACCATTCTGTTATATGTAGATTCTGGTTACTTTTTCAAGTTGTTTTCACCGTGAACTTCCTTGTCACGAAGACAATCGACAAACAGCGTAAGATTATTTTGATAGTTGGGACTGCTGGGACAGGTTAGGGTAGATTAGAGTAGGTTAGGAGCAGCACGTTCTGTTGAACGACAGCAAAGGGATCGACAACAGATATTAAGGATAACATAATCTCTGAATATGATAGCATACCATTAGTTAGTTTTTCAACACACACGAATGGAAAAGTGACGACGTCTCGGCCCGTCCTGGACCCCTTATCAAGTCGTTTACCAAGACAGAGATATTGCAGATATAGATACAGATATTGCAGAGATAATTGAGGTTCAGCACTGAGTCAGAGTGGCCGCTCCCGCAAGGGCAGTGCCCCGGGGCGCTCTCCTCTGACCTCTAATGTTAACCAAACATTATTGATTTTGAAAAAGACGCGAACAGCAACATTAATAAAGCTCTCGGTGACACTGAATCAGAGCAGATAATAAATACAAAGAAAGTCAACAGAGGGATTGAAACAGTCTTTCACAATGGACTGAAAATTGAGAAGTACAGTTCAGTACTCTCAAATGTTAGGTTCTAAGTCTAGGAAAAGAAAACAGGCAAGACAAAAATCAGCTAAACCACAGAAAAATTTAGATTTAGATGTCACGAATAATGGGAATTAAAACCAGGTGGGAAACGCCTTAATACTTTAAAAATCAAGCCAATTACTATTTACCTGTATTATACCCCTGTGCAACCCGTTCTCGCAAATTCGTAAAGTCAATATTGACTTATTAACTACGTGCATAGGTGATATACTAAACATAATAGATACCCTTAAAAAGATTCATAGAAAACACCGACCTTACCTAACCTTGTTAGTATCTTAAGCATCTTATTGCTTCGTA